ATTTGGTTTTGAAAATTTATCCGTTAAACCCCTAAATCCGCTAAATCGAGGTCCGTTAAATCGAGACCCACTGTGTATTATTATTATTGTCATTATCGTATGACATGTACAACAAAAAAAAAGTATTACGAGCTTTAAATAATTCACTGTTACTATACCAAATGAGAACGTAAAGTAAGTTTTTGCTTTTTACGTGTTACACTATCACACAAGTCTATTTTATAGACAATTTTTTCGCAAACACCGACAACATATAGATATTTCTTTCAGGCCATTTGGTGCAAGGAACTCATTCAATCTTCTAAATTCGGCCACGACGTTCCCTGTTCTTCAAGCAATCAAGATAAAACACGAGTCTACAAGTGAGTATATACGCTATGTGTGCGCATCCAAACCATTATTATAGCGATACAACGTTATCTGTTATTGTTATTATCTCTGTTTTACACAGGACATGTTGCCTAATATTGAGCGGACACGGACGTGTTCCAGACAATGTTCGCGTAAAAATATGCCATGCGAACGTGTCTGCTGACAACACTGATAAATGATTATTATACAAATAAAATAAATCAAGTGACATCTTACCAATCAATTCAAAAAAAAATTTTTATTGATCTCAATGAGAAATATACCAACGTTTAGCTGATTTTCATTAAGTCCTTTGACCCAGGAAGCTCAATTTCCTGTATCCAGCAAGGACACTTTTGTCCACTTTTAAACAGTCAAAATCGAAGGACACTATATTTATTCGTTTCGATTAGTGTACGTTGAAAATATGGATCGCAAAGGACGAACATTAGAATTTGAAGATCCAAAGCTTGAAATGGTGTAGTTTACGATTCGATGATTCATGATTATTATTATCAAACAAAAATTTAGATATAGTTATGAATATTATATTAAGAAATTAAGTATTGTTGTATTATTTAATCTTTTTATAAATAATGGTAGTCGATTAATCTCAAACATCTTTTTATATTACTTTTTTTCAGAGAGGGGTTAACTTTGTGTCAATGTGTTACATACAGCCACTTTTAATCGTCAAATCATTCATTCAAAAAACTAATCATGTTTATTAAAAATAAAAATAAAAATAAAAATAAACTAATCCAAGTGGTTTCTTTGTCACTATCGCGATCTATATCTCGAACCTCAATATCCTCCCGCTGGTGTTCAACCGAAAGATTTACCTACTGTATATTTGTGTTTTGCCCTTAATGTTCACTCAGCCTGTCGCATTGATTAATGTTTCTGATCTCGATACATTCAAGAAAGCATCAAGGCATGTTTTTTGTTTGCTGCTTCTTCCTTGTCGCATGGTACTTGTGGTGATCTTTTAGCTTTGCTTTGTTTCGAACTAGGATAAGACGAAGGGATCGCCAGCTACTGAGAAGGTTACAGGCAATTTTGTTGCTACAACTACACACAAACACCTGTAACTCGAGACAATATTTGTGTACAGGATCATCAATTTATTAGATATTCCTCTTCATGATAAAATAGTTTTGCTTATACCGCTCTCCTTTTGCTTGGTCTCCTCTCTACAAGGGGAAGAGAAAGCATCAAACGGATGTGCTACGAGCAGATAATTCATGTCAGGCACCTTGTTCAAGGATCTCAAATCTAAGCCTATCATTTGAACAACAGTCACCTATGCAAAGAAAAATATCATCTGACACATGTTTAATAAAACCATTTAAAATACATATACTGTATACATACATCATCACATGTTGGTAAAATGAACGATCACAAAAAAATTCATATGAGGAACCTTTCAACCATCAACATGGCCTTTAAAGTTTAACTTTACTAATTCTTCATTGTCACTCTACTATATGAAGTGCTCGTGCAAACCTTCTCATCGCCCACAGCCTTGACGAATACAATCAATGATAGAATAGCAACCATTATTTTAATTAAAAATCAATTTATCTGTGATAAATTATTAAAAAAAAGGGTTGATTTTATTTTTATTCTTTTTTTATTGATGTATTGTCACATTGCTATCGTGTTATCCTACAATGTTATTTGTTATTTGTATTTTGATTTTTTTCAATTAAACAAAAGGCTAAAAAGAAAAGATTCAATTCATTACTGTTTAAAAAATGATTAATTCTAGAATGAAAGACTTCATTATATTGTTTTATTTCAAAAAACATCCTGATTTTTTTTTTTTGACAATCGAATTAGTTAGATTGATAGTTATTTTCTCGCGAGTTATTCTTATAAATATCTTTAAACAACAGTAAATAATCCATTATTTTTAATTTCTTTAACAACAACACAAATCAGTCCGTTTTATTAAATTCGAAACATATAAATAGGATAGCTGTTCCCACATTTAGGAATATTTTTGCATTCTAGCATAAAAAATGGTATGTGCCTGCCATATTTACTTGAGAGAAAAAACCGCGTTAATTAAAAAAACCTTGTTTTATTTTGAAAAGAAAATTTTTTAACTTTGTTTATATTTAAAAACATTCATACACACAAAACCTTAAACATGGTCTATCATTTTCTTTTAAAAATTGGAAATGTTAATAAAAAATCTCTTTATGTAGCATGTGATAAGTGTTCTGGGTGGATAAATACACAAAATATGAATTTCAACAATGAAAATCCAAGAACAGGTCAAGGCCAGAGATGTCGGAATGAAAAGTAGTGGTGGTGGGATGAGTAAATTCTCTTTAAATAGGCGAGATTGATTGTGTTTTGTTTTTAATGAATTTGGGTTGTAATTTCCTAGAGTGAACTTGGCTTGTGGATAGACAACAATGATCTTTTCAATAAGATAAGACAAACAACCATCAATTACACTAAAGACAAGACAATTGTTTGGAAGCCTCTAGCTTTTATATGATGAAATAATTTTTTGAGAAAACTTTCTGTATATTAACTTTATAACTTGTTTTTGTCAACTTAAATATTTTACTTTTTTAAACTCTTACCACAAATAATGATGATAGTTATGGAGAATATGAAGAAATCACTAAATTTTCGGTTGACAATAATGATAATAACAATTATGTTGATGATAATGTTGAAAATACATCGGCGCTCGATATAGTGAAGCCTTGGCTAGTACAAATTTAGAAACTATCTTCAGAAAAATTGAATTTGATTGGATATTAACGCAGATATTTCCAAATTTGTACTAGCCAAAACTTCACTATATCAAGCACTGACTGTAATAATGTTGATAATAACAAGTGCCAACCACACAATCTCTAACCATCACTGAAATTTTATTTAAGATCATCCCATCATTAAGGGTAGAGTGTAGGTAACACGAATTTCACTATGATACTGTGGATAAAAAAATTACGTAACACTCTGAGTTGCT